TTATTGTACTAGGTAAACATGTTCTAAATTTTTCACCAACTATAATCCTTATGATATAGATATACATTATGCAAAAACTCAATTTTGGCCAGGAGTTCTCAGACCCCTATATTACTGGTGGACATCTCATATGTTTTCTGACTTAAGGAATTTTTAAATATATTATTGTCCAAGTTAGACCAAGTTTGACTTATCAAGTGTCCAGCTTATTAAGTTTACCTATGTATTATGGATACTTACAACTTGATACATGGCATTGAAACTGCAACTGATGGTGATGAGCATACCCTCAAACTTGCTTGAAAAAAGAGAACAAGCCTTCTAGACCCAAGCATATTAAAAAGAGGTACTAACTCAGTAGCCTATAATTGATACTGCAAGTTTGACAAAAATTATCAATGAATTGCTTATGGAATAAATAATTGGCTCGTTTGGATTATTGCAAAGCAAAGGCTCTTTCTTATGTACAAATGTACAACTTGTACAGAAAACTTCCAAGTTAGCACATTTTTACCAACACAAGATTTTGGTGACTCTATGGATATTGACCTTGTGAAGATTGAGAATGCCAAGTATTTAACTGATATAGAGAGACATGTAGAGGGATTGCCATTCCCAGTTCTTCTAGATTCATGTTCTCTAATATTTCTTGTATGCCTGAGGATATTTATAAAGAGTTTGGACTAGTGCTTGATTAAAGTAAAATCCAATAAGCAAGCATATAGTGTAACAAAGGAGTTGCTGATCTCTTCATAAATTCTGTGCATTTATTGGTTGGGAAGAAATTTCTCTAATCATAATTATATTACCTTTTTTAGTAAAGATATTCACAATTCCAAATCTTCAACAAAAAAATTTCAGCACATATGAGGCCTCATGTTTTTGTTACTAACCTATCTATCTATATAGTGTTTGAGGTCCTATAGTAAACGTATTCCGCATATTAAACTACGACTCAACTTATTTGGGATTAGAGCTTGGATCTGGATATCCCATATAATATCCTGTCCGTTTTAATTATTGCAATCTAGATATCCTCTTGCTACTATTTTCAAAAATCTCATTCAGCTATCCCATCCATTTTAAAAATCTTAATCCAAGTATCCATTTAAATGATAGATATATAAATTCAATTTATCAAGATAAATTAAACATATATTTTATAATAAAGTCATCTTTTAGTATTAATAAAATGTAAACTATTATGGTGGACATTTGAATTGTTACGCGAATCTTTTGATAACAAACGAATTGTTCTTATAAAGAATTCAGTTAATAAAAGATTATCATTTTGAGATGTTCTGGCACGTCAAGGGTGAAAATTATTAGCTGAAGAGTTGTTAATAAGCAACATGCGCACTGAACATAAGTGTAACAGATGGCTATTGTAAAAAAAAACCCCCAATTGAAATAATTTAGTTACACGACTCAAATATCCATGCTATACTAATATCATGTTGCGGATATCCGGGATATCTTTCACAATTGATTATCGAAATCAAAAAATTTGATTTTTATAATTAGAATTTTAAAACGATAATTAAAATACAACAATTATTAGTGAATTTTTTTTTCCGTTTCAAAGAACAATAGACCATTAATTAGTGTTTTGGAACAATATGATCGTAGGACACAAATCTTTATTTATTTTTCTGAAACTGTGCTAGTACCAGTTAAATTTGATCTATGAAAATATGAAAGGGATTTTCGGAAGGAAACAGGAATTCTTTTGAATTAATAAAGAATTCTACTCTTAAATAGTTGTAAATTATCATATTATATTCATTGTATAATTTTATCTAGTAAGCCTTCTTACTACAAACCTTTACCGCAGCATTAGAAAACCATCTTTCAGAAAGAACAAATGATAAAATTGTTGTTGTTGTTGTGGTGGTGGTGGTGGCAGAACTTGTAGACGAGGATATGGATAATGTCGATATTGAATTATTGTTGTAATTATGGTTTTAATGAAAACTAATCAGATTATACAAAAATTTTTCGATTAACTGACTCGCAAAAAAATAAAATAAAATAGATTGACTCTATTTGTGTGATTTAAATTAGTTCGACAATGTTTTAAAATCTAATAGGCTCAAGGTCAGACTGGTTTATAGTGTTGGACATCTTGTTTATTATGAAAACATACATTTATTTATTGGATAGGTGAAACAATAATACAAAATGCGGATGATTTATCTTATCTTACTATCTTTTGATTATTATTATAAGATATTTAAACACTAGGCATTTATATGATCGTCTGCGTGTTTGACCCATATCTAATGTTGTGCAAACCGTGTGAATTTGAATTTATAATTATTTGAAATTTCGAGGTCGTTTTGGACACGAAACTCCGATTGGCTAATTTAAATTTCACGCACGTTTTTAAAAATACAGCGGGTGCGTGATTTGATGCGATAAATGCACAAAATAAAATTATATGATTATATGTTATATCATATCTAAATTTAGACAAACAATTATTGTTCGAGTTTTACACAAACAATTTATGTAGTAGACTTTCCCAAACGTCACAATACTTTAATATATAATAATAATTGTTAAAATCGTTAGATTATTGTGTGTATAAATTAAATTGATAAGCATATTATTAATATGCATGCATGATGGAAACAAAGAATGTCGATTCTTAGAAGATTAATATAAGAATATTAATTTTGTAAAGAGATTAATTAGTAATATAATTTATAAATACCAGATCTTTAAATTTTTTAAAATAAAAATCTATATATGTAAACATATATACCCATATATATGTTCATTATAAAAATCTATTAAGAAAAAAATTTTTTTTTAAAAAGAAATATTTTAATTCTGTTCATGTGTGTAACTTTCCAAATATATTACATAAATTGCCATGCGATTTTCTTTCCACATCTTCGGACTTTAATTTATTTATGTAAAAATGGTTCGTCCTTATTTAGAGTTTGAAAAAGCTTAAATAAAGCTTAAATAAATCAGTTTAAAAAAGAATCCAGAGATTTTTTTACCTTAACCAAAAATATTTTAAAAAAAAATTTTTTTTATCTTTTCAAGTTTATTTTTTAAAAACTAATTTAATTTTAATTAATTATTTTAATTATTTTTAATAAATATATATTTTTTAATATATATAATTAAAACTCAAATAAAAAATAATTTCCTAAAAAGATATATATTAAAGAAAAAAAACGCGTTTATTTGTAAAAATAATAAATAATGGGTTGTATTTGTAGTAAAGCTGATGGTGATAATAATGATAATGATGATAATAATAATAATAATAATAATAATAATAATAATAATAATAATAATAATAATAATAATAATAATAATAATAATAATAACAACAACAACAACAACAACAACAACAGCAACAACAGCAACAACGACAATGAAATAATTAATGATGAAATGAAAAATATTTTCCCTGATGATATTAACGAAGGAAAATTATCGATTACACAGAAATTACATCATGTTCATAAATACATATGGAAAAATAATTTCTCTTCACCGATCGAATTAGGGGCTCACAATAACAAAAGAGTTTTGGATATAGGATGTGGTGACGGTGCCTGGATAATTGAATTGGCCACCGAGAACCAATGGAATTACTTTACTGGCATTGATACTAGACTTGTATTTCCCAAATCTATTAAACAATTTAATGCAACATTTTTACAAGCAGATATTTCAGATAATTTAAGATTTGAGTCGGATACATTTGATTTGGTTTATGTTAGAGATGTTAATTTCATTATAAATAAAAATGATGATGACGAAAAAAGTTGGGAGGAAAAGGTTTTAAAAGAAATGATCAGAGTTTGTAAACCAAATGGATGGATAGAAGCAATGTTTTATGAAAATAAATTTTATCGAGAAGGTCCAGTGGGCAAAAGATTACGAGAAGCATGTAAGTATCATCATCGTCATCGTCGTTATTATTATTATTGTTAATAATACATTTATAACTAATTTATTATTTAATTATTAATTATTATTATTATTATTATTATTATCAAGTTGATAGATATCTTGATTCTAAAAAAATGAATTCAATATTTTACACAAAATTTGAAGAATTATTTTATAAAACTGATGAATTAATAAATTTCAAAAAAGAATACAAAGAATATAAATTAGGATATTCAACAAATAGGAAATCCAATGATATCATTAATAAATCTTACAGAAAAATTAGTGATATATTAATTGAATATATTGTTGAAATGTGGAAAACTCCTAGGATCTCAATATCTGAAAGCATGGGTTGTACGGTGGAAGAGTACGATGATTTGATCGGATTATTTAAGAAAGAAGTTAAGCAGAAAAATACCTATATAAGATACATTAGAATCTACGCTCAAAAGAAAGAATAATTTGTTAACGTTTTTTTGCAAATTATTCATCTAATTTGTGATTTTAAAAAAAACCCCCTAAAATTTCATTACGTGTATATATATATATATATATATGATGTTTAATGTTAATAAATTAAAAAAATTTAGTTATGCAACAGATGTAACCATTACTAGCAATGATCGACTCTAAATACATCCCCATTATGCCTGTCATTTTAAGATTCTGGGTTGTTGTTTATATTAATATTTGGAAAAGATTCTGTGATTTCTTGGGGTTGTTGACAATTCTGAAATTTCATGTGGTTTTTTTTCATAGTCGATCGTGTAGACACATGCCCGGGATCTCGTGGCTTTTTTCGTGTAGGCACATTACCGAGATCTCTCGTGGCTCTTTTGTGCGTAGGCACATTATTTGGATCTCTCGTGACCTTTTCAACAGTCAATCAGGTAGACACCTGGCTAATTTTGAACGGTCAGGAGTTTTTCTAATTTATTTTATGTCTCGAACATTGAAACAATAAAACAATGGCAAAATCTTTGAAAACTTTTTTGATTTAATTAATAAATAATTATTTTTTATTATCATCATTTATAAAAAAAAACCCATATACACACATATTATTATTATATTATATTAATATTAATATTATAAAATTAAAATTACAAATAAATAAATTTAATTAGATTCTACTTTGACCAACATATTTCGTGGTAGCGATAAATTTTCCATTGTACGATGTTGAATACCACCTGATATTGGTAATTTACTATCACCACCCATAAGATATTGATCAACTTCTCTGGCTGCTTGTCTGCCTTCATTAATACCCCACACTATTAAACTTTGGCCGCGTCGACAATCACCTAATATATTTATGATATATTAAGAATATATTAATTAGATTAAATTAAATCAAATCAATAATTATAAACAACAACAATATATATTATTATTATTAACCTGCAGCAAAAATTCCAGGTACTGCTGTAGTATATTTTCCTTTTGGAGTTTCTATATTGGTTCTAGAATCTGTTTTCAATCCTAAACTATTAATTAATTTTTCTTCGGGTCCTAAAAATCCCATTGCTAATAACACAAGATCTGCTGGGAAGAATTGTTCTGATCCTGGTTTTTCTTTCATACTCCAACGTCCTGTTGCATCTTTAGTCCATTCAACACGAATTGTATTTATGCCTGCCACTTTTCCATTACCATCACTGACAAAACTTTTCGATAATATATTATACTGCCTTGGATCATTGCCATAATGTACTTGACATTCTGCATGTCCGTAATCAACTTTGAAAGTACGTGGAAATGTCGGCCATGGATTGTCTGGTGCTCTTGTTGGTGGTGGTTGTGGTAATAATTCAAAATTTACTATTGATTTTGCTCCATGTCTTAATGATGTCGCTATACAATCTGTACCAGTGTCGCCACCACCTATTACAATAACTACAAATTAAATGGTTGTGAAAAAATTTTTTATATATTTAAATGTTAGTAAGTTTTTCAATTAGAAATATAATATAATAAAATACATTAATAAATATTTTACCATTTTTATCTTTTGCACTAATATATTGACCATTTGAAAGGTCTGAATCCATCAATGATTTTGATGATAATGTTAAAAATTCCATTGCAAAAGTTATATTTTCTAAATTTCTATTTATAAGTTTTAAATCTCTTGGCCAGGTTGCTCCAGTAGCCACTATTATTGCGTCATTTTCACGTCGAATCTTATCTGCATCAACAGTAACTCCTACATGTGCATTGGCCACAAATTTAATTCCTTCAGCTGCTAAAAGATCTATACGACGTTGTACTATTTTTTTATCAAGTTTCATATTTGGTATACCATACATCAATAATCCACCAAACCTATCATTACGTTCATATATTGTAACGAGATGTCCTGCTTTGTTAAGTTGATCTGCTGCTGCTAAACCAGCTGGTCCTGATCCAATTATTGCTACTTTTTTCCCTGTTCGAATTGCTGGTGGTTGTGGATAAATCCATCCAGATTCAAAACCTTTATCTATTATTGCACATTCAATTGATTTGATGCTGACAGGTGTCTCTGTAATTCCCAAAACACATGCTCCTTCACAAGGTGCTGGACATACTCTTCCGGTAAATTCCGGGAAATTATTAGTCATTAATAAACGATTTAAAGCATCTTTCCATTGATCCTTAAATACAAGATCATTCCATTTTGGTATGATATTACCAATTGGACATCCTGAATCAGATTGACAGAATGGTACACCACAATCCATACAACGAGCTGTTTGTACTTTAAGTTCTGCATCACTTAAACGTGCATTTATCTCTTTCCAATCTTTAACACGTTTACGAGGATTACGATAATTGTCGACTTTTCTTTTATATTTCATAAAACCACGAACTTTATCAAGTTTCGCAAGTCTTTTCTTGGCAATTTCTTCATCAACCATAGAATCTTCAATATCAACGACCGAAGGTTCAACAGATTTACTACCAGCAGCAGTACTTTTAATAACGCTTTGTTGGTCTTTTAATTTTTCTGCTTCTTGCTTCTGCTTCTTCTCCAATAAGACTCTTGTGTATTCCAATGGCATAACTTTAACAAACTTTGGTAAGAAATTATTGAAATTTTTCAATATACGATCAGCTAACTCGGAACCAGTATAATGACGATGTTGTTGTATCAAGTCACGTAAACGAGTTATTTCTTCCGAATCGTTAACAGTCTCCAATGCAACCATTTCAAGATTACATTTACTCTTAAACTCTTGTGTATTACTCTCATCAAGTACATATGCTATTCCACCACTCATACCAGCAGCAAAATTACGTCCAGTCTGTCCTAAAATAACAACATAACCACCTGTCATATACTCACATCCATGATCACCCACTCCTTCAACAACTGCTACAGCACCAGAATTACGTACACAAAAACGTTCAGCTGCAATACCACGAAAAAATGCTTGACCAGATGTTGCTCCGTATAAACATACATTCCCAACGATAATATTTTCTTCTGACTTGAATTTTGAAACTTTTGGTGGATAAACAACTACTCTTCCACCAGATAAACCTTTACCGACATAATCATTCGCATCACCTTCCAATTCCAATGTGACACCAGGAGCCAAGAATGCACCAAATGATTGCCCTGCAGAACCATCGAGTTTAACATGAATCGTATCATCTGGTAAACCAGCTTCGCCATGGTATTTTGAAATATTATGAGATAATGTAGTTCCAAGAGCACGGTCAGTATTAACTAGTTTACAATCAATGTTCACACGTTGCTTTTTACTTATTGCAGGTTCTGCCTCGTCAATTAGTTTATTGTCCAGACGAACATAAAGTTTATGGTCTTGTTTCCGCACATTGTAAGTTGCCACACCAGGTTTTAGTGTATAAGCTGGTGTTAAGATTGGAGTTAAATCAATATTTTCAGTTTTTGGATTTTTAATTGAATCATTCATCTTCAATTTATCTGTACGTCCGACCATTTCATTTATTGTACGGAAACCAAGTTTTGCCATGACTTGACGACATTCTTCAGCAACAAAATAAAAGAAATTTATTACATGCTCAGGTTGACCTTCAAATTTCTTTCTTAATTCTTGATCTTGTGTTGCAATACCAACTGGACATGTGTTCAAATGACATTTTCTCATCATTATACAACCCATAACAATTAATGGAGTAGTAGCAAAACCCCATTCTTCAGCACCTAACAAACATGCAATTGCCACATCACGACCTGTTTTGATTTGACCATCTGTTTGAACAACTACACGACCACGAAGATCATTCAAGACTAAAGTTTGATGAGTTTCTGCAAGACCTAATTCCCATGGTAAACCTGCATACTTTATACTTGTCCATTTCGAAGCACCTGTACCACCATCATGACCAGAAATCAAAATATGATCAGCTTTAGCTTTTGCAACACCAGAAGCTACAATACCAACACCAACTTCAGATACCAATTTAACAGAAACTCTAGCACGAGGATTTGAACATTTCAAATCATAAATTAATTGTTTTAAATCTTCAATTGAATAAATATCATGATGAGGTGGTGGTGATATCAAACCAACACCTGGAATAGTTTTACGTGTTCTTGCAATATTTTCGTCCACTTTCAAACCCTAAAAGATAAGCATTATTATTATTAATTTTTATTATTAATAAATTTTTTATAAAGTTGATTTTAATATTTACCTGAAGTTCACCTATTATTATAACAAATGATAATAATAATATCAAAATTAAAATTAAAAATTAATTATTGTAAATTAATTATTATTTTTAAAAAACATATAAATGTATATATATTACCTCCTTCTCCTGGTTTTGCACCTTGAGCCATTTTAATTTGTAATTCATCAGCATCATAAAGATAATTAGAAGTAACACCAAAACGTCCAGAAGCAACTTGTTTGATTGCAGAACGCCTTGATTCACCGTTCGGTAAAGGAATTGATCTAACACTTTCCTCACCACCTTCTCCGCTATTTGATTTACCACCTAAATAATTCATTGCTCTTGCAAGAGTAGAATGAGATTCGATTGATATGGAACCATAAGACATAGCACCAGTACAAAATCTTTTAACAATTTCAGTCCAAGGCTCTACTTGATCTAATGGGATCGATTTTGAATTGTCAAAATCAAAATCTAAAAGACCACGTAAAGTGCAATTTTTGATTTGCTCGTATGCATTGGCAGAATATTTATCATAGGTTGATTGATTTTTTGTTCTGACAGCATCCTGAAGATCAGCAATACCAGCTGGATCATTTATATGTGGTTCACCACCATCACGCCAATGATATTCACCAGATTCAGGTAAGCCTGGTGGAAGTATTGTATCACGACTAGGAAAACCTGATTCATGAAAAGTAATAGCATCTAATGCTAATATATCAAATGTCGTACCTAAGAATCATATAATTATTAGGAATAAGTAATAGTAATAAAGTAAATATATAACCAAATAATAAATAAATTGATATATTAATATTATTACCTTTTATTCTACTAGCAGTTCCAGCAAAACAACGAGCAATGACACTTTCATCAATACCCAAAGCTTCAAATATTTGAGCACCTTTATAACTTTGTAAAGTAGATATACCCATTTTAGATGTAACTTTTAGAATGCCTTGATTCATGGCCTTTTTATAATTACTAATAAATTTTTCAGGAGATAAATCACTTTTTATAACATTTTCTCTTTTTAATTTCAATACAGCTTCCATAGCAAGATAAGGACAAATAGCATCAGCGCCATAACCTAATAGTACACAGATGTGATGAACTTCTCTTGCTTCAGCACTTTCACTTATAAGAGCAATTTTAGAACGTTGCTTGCTTCTAACCAGATGATGATGCACACCGCCTATAGCTATTAGGGATGAGATTGCCACACGTTCAGCATTGGTTGCAATATCAGACAATACAACAACCTTGAAGCCTTGTTGAATAGCTAGTGAAACCTCAGCACATATACGTTCCAATGCTAATAAGTATCCAGGTATGCCTTCTTGTTTGGGAAAAGTAATATCAATGGTGATTACTCTCCAATCATGTTTTACAAGATTAATATGTTTTATAGCGTTTAATTCATCAATTGATAATATTGGAGAGGGTAAGGAAAGCCGATGAGCTTGTTGTTCATTCATTTCTAAAATGTTTCCTTCAGGACCTATATAACATTCTAAAGACATTACTATTTCTTCACGAATTGGATCAATTGGAGGATTGGTAACTTGTGCAAAAAGTTGTCTAAAATAATCATAAATAAGACGTGGCTGAGTTGATAAGCAAGCTAAAGGAGCATCATTTCCCATTGATCCTAATGCTTCTTTCCCTTCACTTGACTAAAAATTAGACATAAAAAAAAACGTTATAATACGTTAATTAAATTATAAATAGTGATTAATGGTCAAATCAATGAATATATTATATATTTATATATTTATATATATTACCATTGGTGAGATAATAAGATTTAATTGTTCGATTGTATAACCAAAAGCTTTTAATCTAGGATCATCAGCTATAGAGAAGTTATCTAATTCAATATTTAGAATGTTTTTGCCATTTGATTTAAGTGTTTGTATAACATGATCCAGAGTAATCATTTGATTATCAATCCAAGATTTAAAATTTTCTCTGCTAGCAACAGATAATTTTAGTTCTTTGTCATCAACTATACGACCTTCATCAGTATCAACCAACAACATTTTGCCAGGTTGTAAACGACCTTTTTGAATGATGCTTCCAGGATCAATAAACATGGTTCCAACCTCAGATGCACATATCATTAAATCATCATTTGTTAAATAAAATCTACATGGTCTTAGACCATTACGGTCCAAACTAGCACCACAATATCTACCATCAGAAAAGGTGAATAAGGCTGGGCCATCCCAAGGTTCCATTAAACAGGCAGCCCATTGATAAAAGGCCCTTTTTTCAGGTTCCATTGAATGATTATTTTGCCAAGCTTCAGGAATCATCATCATAACAGCTTCAGGTAGAGTTAAAACACCATTTATAACCAATAATTCCAAGACATTATCAAAAGCAGCAGAATCAGAACCACCATCTTCTATTATAGGATACAATAAATCCAATTCTTGACCGAATAAATCAGATTTCATTATACCCTCACGAGCTCTCATCCAATTTTTATTACCACGTAAGGTGTTAATTTCACCATTATGAGCACACCATCTCATAGGTTGAGCCCTGTCCCAAGAAGGAAAGGTGTTTGTTGAGAAACGGGAATGAACCAAAGCTAAATGAGTTTTGTAAGAGACATTTCTCAAATCGTAAAAATAATTGTAAACTTGAACAGGAGACAATTGACCTTTGTAAACAATATTTTTGTTTGAAAGTGAACAAATGTAAAACCATTTTTTGACAGTGATTGTATGAGTAGCTTGTTTTCGTAGAATATAAAGCTGACGAGCAAAATAACTATCGTCAAAATTATTAATGCTGTTGATTTCAACATCGTTAACATTTTCAAGAGCATTTTGATTTAAGGATGTGTTGAAATGACTTGTTAAAGTGAGAAAAGGTTGAAAAATGATGGGTTCACGTGATATAGCAGCAGGACCTAAGATAGAATTATCTTTTGGGACTTCACGCCAACCCAAAACCTTCAGATTTAAAGAATCAGCGATTTGTTCAAAGATTTGTTTACTTTCCTCCATGACAGCAGGTTCAGGTTTAAAAAAGACATTGCCAACAGCATATTGACCTTGAGGAGGCAAAACAAAACCTAATCTTTGAGTCTCTTGAACAAAAAAATCATGAGGGATACCTGTCATAACTCCAGCACCATCACCATCCCTTGCATCAGCACCAACAGCACCTCTATGAGTCATATTGCAAAGTATACTTTGTGCATCACTAAGAATTTTGTGAGAGGGAGCACCTTTAATGTGTACAATGAAACCCACACCGCAAGAATCTTTTTCATAATCGGGATCATAAAGAGCTTGTTTAGAAGGAATAGTATCAGCCCATGATGAATTAGAAGAGTTATCAACAATAAAAGAAGACGATGATGATGATGATGATGATGAATTATTTTGATAAGGGTAAAATTCAGAATCTGAAGAGTTAACGTTCTCTTCTTGAATAACACGATTATTATTATTATTATTATTATTATTATTATTATTGTCGTTGTTAATATCGATAATATTATTGTTAGTATTATTATTATTAATTTGTTCAACAATAGATTTCATATTATTATTATTAATTTTTTAAAATTAATTTTAAAGAAAAATGTATCACTGTATGTATATATATGATTTTTTATACGACTATTAAAAAAAGTTTTTGATTTATAATATTATTGTTAATGGAATAATTAATTTTATGTTATTTATTATACAACAAGAATGAATAATATTATGTAATTATTATATTTATTAAATTTATTTTTTGAAATTTTCTTTCTTATATTTCTTATATTTATTTTTTTGATAAATAATCAATTAATTTATTGAAAGAAAATGAAGAAAAAAACCGTTCAACGCGTTTAAAATAATAAAAAAAAAAATTTTTTCTTAAAAAAATTAATATTTATAAAATATTTATAATAAATTTAAGATGATGATATAATATTTATTACATAATAAAAAATATATAGTAGAATGAATACTTGAGCTTTGTAAAAGGACTTAGCCGACTAAAATCGACTTGGTAATCTTTACTATATTCACGCAGTTCATGTAACTTCGTTGATTTTGACCTTATCACTAAATCAAAAAAAAATAATAATTCAAAAAAATAAAGAATGCGTAAATAAAAAAAAATAATAGAAAACAACAAAATAACTAGATTTACTGATTTTATCTTTTAGAAAAATATCTAACTCAAAGATCCGACTTCTAGATAGATTTAGATAATACAAATTGCAATAAAATTAATTATTATGAGATAAGCTTCGATTATTTCATTGGCCAATGTTCACATGCTAATAATAATTTCATACAATTAACTTTTCTCCCGCAGTATATTGCGCGATTTTTCATCACATGGCTTGTTTATTTTTTTTTTGGTTCACAAAATAAATACTTGATTTTATTAAAAAAAACAATAGTCAATTCTTTTTTCTAAAAAAATTCTAGATTATCTCTATTTTATCAACAATAAAAAAAAAAATTTTTATGATTATCCCATATTAAAATTAATTAAATAAAAGATCTTGAATATTGGCTCCGTTTTTTTCCTTGTTTAATTATATTACGCGCTATGTGAAAAAAAAACGAATTCCCTCTTTTTTGTCATGGTGATGGCCGAGATGGATTATATGCATGTGTTGTAGATATACATTATATCTGATATCAATGTTACACAAAGCAGTTGAAATAAACATTTACACATTTTAATTCAGATCAATAATGTCACCATTTAAAGACATTGTTGATTCGGTGACGAATCTTTGATATTAAAGAAGTCAAAGGATATTTCTCCACTTTTAAAAATGTCCAAAATTGGTAGTTTATGAAATATATTAAATTCATGTGTATATTAAGCCAATTAGAAATATTCGTTTGTTCATTTATTTAAAATTTCAGAAAAAAAGCTTCATTAATTATCATATCTATAAAGATTAGATTTTCCATTTTTGTAAAAAAGTATTTTTAAACTTCATAAAAATTAAAATTATATATGAGCTACTTTATTTGTTTTATTCATATGACATTTATTTACTTATCATTATTATCGATAATAAATTATTGACAACAATGTTAAGATTTTTATCGGAATACTATAATTGATCACGCGTACCTGATGTATAACACATTGATTATTTATTTATCCCTACTCGTTAATGACAAAAACAATGAAATCGTATTACAGATTTGTACGATACAGTCGAATTTGGTCATTCCGCCTTTTATGTGAGCTAATTTTAATGTCAATTCTGGCCAGAATTATGCTAAAATTTGTTTACAGTCAACACTCTACGTAGCATCAGGGACAAGCATGTGTTACTAAATTTTTTAAAAAAATAAATAATAAATTCAATGCACAATATATTCAGTTGTTTTAATGATTCTTTTGTTATCTGCAGCCAAATACCATATATTGGCAATATTATCAAGTATTGGAAGAGATTCACCCAATAATTATGTAAACTCGCATCCAATTCCAAACCAGATATAAAGATCATCCTTGTAATGAAATTTTCAGAAGGGTTATTAAGTTCTCTAATTACTGAATAATGACAAATATCTCTTTTATGAATCCTCCTAAATGAATGTATTCGGATTAAAAACCTGACAGGCATAAAAAAATGAATGTCTGGGATGAACTGAAAATTTATTAGGATCAAAAAATCATTGTAAAACCTGGGTTTTTAATTTCAGAACCAAAACAAGATGCAATAATATTAGTCTCATATATGCAGTAAATGACCCTCAAGAAAGGGGAAAACTGGATTATTTTGCTTGTTGAAATAATTTAATCATGGGTAACATAAATTGTAATGGTTCCAATTTTGTAGTTACAACCCAGCATTTAATGGTCAACCTACCTAACATGAAAATAAATTACCCAAAAAAAGCCATAGCATAGATATCAAAAATCTAAAACTAAAAAAAGTCAAAAGACTTTGTGAGGAACAGCTTAATAATTTGAAGGTGCACACATACTTCAAAATTTCTGCTCAACAATACCTTACAGATGCATCTATAGCAATCAACTCCTTTCATATCTAAACTTTTTGAGGCAAAGCGAATTAGTTGATGAAGGATATAAAGTTGTGCTATATCCCAAAAACATCTGTGCATGTACTTGGATTTCTTACACCTTTTAATGAAATTGTCATAATTCCCCTTTGCATGTCTGTATGTTGATACTTTCACAGCTTCAGAAATCACCTTCAAGATCCTAGAAATAGAATCAATTTACAAGTAAAAGTTCTTGGGGAATTGTTATTATTATTGAGAAGCAAGGGTGTCTTACCTACTTTTGTTCTTGTAGATGAGGATGCAAAACAAACAGTCACAATACAAGAGGCCTGGACTTGGACGGCAAATATTCAGCTTTGCTTATGGCACATTGAGCAAGCAATTGACTGAAAATTAAAGAAAAGAAGTATAAATCAGTCAATATACAGAAAGTGAGAAAATGAAGCCAATGAACAATTCAGTTTTATTGATACCTCCTGGATACCTGAAGTTGCCTATGTTCAGAGGAAAACATAAAAGAAGTTTTAAATATTGTCAAAAAACATGCAATATTGCACCCACTTATACCAATCAACAAAGGGATCTTCCTTACCTCAACAGAAAATTATTATCAAAGTGCAAAGGAAAGGATCTTGTTTTCTTTAAACATGCTTGTGGACCAACTGGTATAATGAGATGAGTTGGAATCTCTTTGTATGGGCTTCTTTCCAAAGATGATACCATAAAAAGAGCAGAACCACATTGATGTGTTCTTAAATGTAATTATAAATATACTTGTAATTATACATGTTATCAAAATTAATTTGGCTTTGACTCAATTCCCAATATCTCAATTTTTAATTGCGTCTAACTCAATTATTTATGTTTTCATATGGCTCAACTAATTGCATCAAAAAGTCACCTGATTGAGTCAAGTGATCAACCTATTTCTACCACACGTATACTTGTAATAGTCCTTGCTTAGATTACCTAACACAGATTCTGACAAAAGAGTTGATCCTAGATCAAATAAGTGCTTGGCAAAGATTTAACAACAACTGGGCTTTCCAATCCTGTGAAGAGCGTTTAAAAATGAATGAAAAAGGTGTTAGATAAGGATGTTGACTCTGACTCCAAAGACAAACATTTAACAGATGTCAATCATTGGATTTGTTTATGTATTGCATTCATCAACAATACTTACATGCTGTGTAAACATCTTCTCAAAGAGTGCATCCAATATTTTTTCCTCAATACATGACATGATTATCCACTTATTTGGTTGGTACAAGTATTGATCCCACAAACAATCCTTTAGATGAAGAGAGTCCAGTGAATGAGGATGGTAGATAGAATTAAGCCTTCATGCTTCCAATGAATTGATCAAATCCAGAAAGTCTGAACTAGCAGAGGATGAAAAGATGTTCGAGTCATAATACTCAAAACAATCATTTCTATAATGCATATAAGAGACTAAGACAAACTTTGATAATTGAAACAAAGGTTTGTCAAGAAGCTTTGATGGCTAAAACGCAACAGAGAACCTGGAGCCCTCTATGTAATTCAAAACTGCTTTTCAATTAAGTTAGATAAACTTGAGATTTTTATTGCTATTAAAGGAGTTTCATAATAGAATATATATATATATGAGATTGTTGCAATATAATATTGATCTTTATGTTGTGTTGTTGCACCTATGTAATTAATGTGATTTTTTATAACTAAAGCTCATGTGACTGCAGTTATCACATTTGTCATGACGCGTGATAGATTTGAAATTAATTAATTACATGTTAGGGAATTATATAATTCGTTCATATGAAGAGAATTATGAAGAGTTGATAAGTGAGCTTATAAATAAATTGAGAATTCATTGATTTGCATGTACACAGTAGGTGACTTAATAAAATTCATAACTGTGATGCTATAATAATTAGTTAATATGGAAGAATAATTGACATAATTTTATAATTAATAATTCACAATTAACTTCTCATCATAACTTGGTTATTAATTAAATGATAATGATATTATAAAAAATGTCACATTTGAAATATTTCAAAATAACAATAATTTTAATAAATAATTTTTAAAATAAATTTCTTCACATTTTTTTTTAACAATAAATCATTATGAATCAACCAAAGCAATTTTCTCAACAAATAATTTTTCAGCATTCAACCATACATTTGAATTTGTTCTATTTTGTAATTCCAATAAACTAGGCAATAAATCTTTACTAAACTGTTCACTACTCTCTTTAGGAAGCAAAGTTGGCAAATGATCAATAGAAATAACTTCAAGAGGCTTTGGATTCCTATTATGATGTATATGTGTAAATTAGGATTAACGATCATATATGATGATGATGATGATACAAAAAGATGGTAGTTATGAATTTTTAAAAAAAAATTTACTTTGTTTCAATCAATTCTGTTGGATTTTTAAATGTGGTACTAATGTTGTAAACAGGAACAGGGTTATTGGGATTTGTTATATCACAGCTGACATCTACAATCACTGAAAGGTTCCTTTTTTGATCAAGCATTTCTTTTGTAATGAAAGGAGGAATTTTTTGACTAAGATAGATACAATTAACAAATATATTAACATCAAGAATTTCTGAAAATGGACCTCCTTTTTTTGTTTCTTCAATATCCCATTTAATAATATTTTCTCTACAAAATAAATACATTTATTTATTTGTTAAAAATTATTTAATAACCCTTTTTCTTTTTTGGGGATTGAAAAAAATATATATATATAATTTACACATATATTCTTACTTGTCAATTCCAACATTATGAGAAATATCACATGCACCTTTACCACATCTACCTAATGCTCCCATAACCAAAATACGAGGTGAAACTCCACTATGCGCTACTTTAATAACATAAAGAGAATTATATATATATATAAGACAAACATATATATGATTATTATTAAAAATACATTATAAATTTTATTAATACCAGCTCCATTCAACCGATTTTTTATGTGTTTAATTAAATCATCTTCGTTTGGATATGGGTTAACACTAGGATATTTTTGTTTGGGGTGAAGAATTTGTTGTGCCCAAACATCTAGTCCAATAGCTGCTCCAGCAAACCCTGCATGATAACCAAATGCAGCAACACGACGACCTATCAAAAATTATAAAATATAAATATTAATATAAATACATTAAATTTAATTATTTGTTGACAAACCTTTTTCATCATTTAAAAACTCTAAATCAAGAAGCAATCCTTTGCCATTGATAAACCTTTTTAGAACATTTTGCCAGCCAGATTGATTCTTATAACAATGTGCAAAATAAATATGTGTATGAGAAAGAGGTGAATCGTCATTTTCTGGTAATTCCTTTAAACCTATAATGTAAGCGTCGGATGGAGCTGTTTTCCAAGTTCCAGATTGAACTAGTGTACAACCAATTCTAAGTAATCAAATAATGAAGTTGATGATAATGATAATGATAATAAATAATTTTCAATTAATAAATAAAAATTTTTTTTTTCAAGATTTACAAACCTTTCATACTCTTCATCATCAAAAATGCGTTGCGTAGATTTTTCTACTGTGATTTTAAAGCCTATACGCATAATGTAAACATAAATATAAACACATATAAAGTATTATTACAAGCATAAAAGTTCAACGAAGTGACATTGGGGAAAAATTCACTACCATTTTGAATTAATTGTTTGCTTGTATTTGGTGTTAAAGCTGCTCGATGTTCATCAGCTTTTGTTTCAGCACGAAGCCATAAATGTACCATTTTTTTTTTTTTTTGAGCTATTTTTTAATTTTTTTTTATAATAATAGAATTGAAGAATGCGAAGGCATTGCCACGGAAAAAACTCTACCTACTGCGTAAAGATTGATTAAATAGTAGATCTCAATTTGCATGTTTGTCTCGTGGCGCAGATATAGAAGAGTGTGATTTTTTTTTTTACAATTTTTAAATTTTCGATACTTTTGTATTAAATATCATTAAAAAACCCAAATCAACCAACACTGTGATAGTCAGCAAATGCCCCTAGACAAATTGGGCCTGGGTGTTTTAAGTTTTCCTTTTGACTGTTTTTAACAAATTGTGGAGGCCTTTTAGATTTTTTACCAGTTTTCTTATCCATAAGATGTAAGAGAGACTAAAAAAAGGAAAGTTGCTTAATTAAAAAACTATTACCATTTAAAAATTCTGTGCAAATATATATATGCTCATGTTGTATTCCTATAAACTTATATTTAATCTTAACTGAAATTGATACTTTACATGAGTGAATATGTAATACAGCATTGTAACGAGCACAAATAATTGTTTTATGATCAAGGTTGCAAGTTGAGCCTCAAAGCAGATGAAATTTTAACTGGTTGATCCGTTGAACATACTAAAAAATTAATTGAAATATCCTAAAAATATTAATTTAATATTTACATATGGGGCATGCTGCAACAAAACCAGACTAAGTGAACATTGGTATTACCAAAGATTTCAGGGGTCAAAATTTAGTAATGTGATTATTATTAAAATCTTCCATTTGTTACCCTCTTAATATTAGGTGATATATAGAATTACCTCTATATAAAAATAGTTAATATGAAGTTAATTTACATCAGATCTACTATGGAACCAAGAATTACAGCACCATTAGAAGTATTTTGAAGAAGGAACAAGGTGAAAAAATTGCACCTTATATTTTTAAATTAGCAGATACTAAATCCTTGCAAACATATTTAGATAAAGAAAGGATTACCTATGAAATTTACCAAGAAGAAAGAAAAATAATAAACACTAAGAAAAGAAAGCAGAATGAAGATGTGTTATTACCCAACAAAAAACAGAAACCTTTTAATGTCTATTTTTATCTTTCTCAATGGGATTCCTGAAACCAATTCTAATGTTCTGTCTTTATCAGGATACTTTGTACCAGTATCTGTTTCTCCAATAATTCAATGTTTGGGTCAATATTGCAATTGTTATAGTCTATCTCATCCAAATCCAAATCTGTCTTGTCCTCATTATAATTTGAATCAGTCTTTGTCCATTTTAAAACCTTATCATCATTCTAAAGATAGGATTTTCATTAGAAATAAAATCATAACACAATAAATATAAAAAAAATTGTATATCCTTTACTTCTTTATCCCTCTTCTTCAAGGATGGCTCTGCAATAGTGTTTATGTCAATGGCTCTTTCAATTACATTATTATTAGATATATGGGGCATGGACAATAGAAAAGGGGATAACTACCAAAATCGTGATTTTGAGTTAACAACACTCCTATGTGTAATTTACTACAAGGATTAATTTTAGCTTCTTAATAAAATTTCGAGATAATTAAAGAAAACTTCAAGATGTACAAGAACCAACAAATTGGTATTATACTAAAACAAGTAATGATAAACCTAAATCCGGAAATTCGGTTCAAATCATGTAACACGAATTTATTAAATAATTTTTTTTTAAATATAGTGTGAGACACCTAGTCCCACAACTTTTTATTGGCCTTGTAAATTCTTCTCTGACTCCAAAAATGGAAATGTAACACCAAAAAAACAAGCCGTAATTTTGAAGCTAAGACCTTTCTCTACAAAGTTACGATTTCATTTTTTTGATATGTTACAGCATTGTGCAGTTAGAAAGGCTCAAAGTTGCACAAGTTTACAATAGGGGTGTTCAAAGTTGTTCCATTCCTGTTTCCTGTTCCTTGTTACACAGTCAAAATTAAATTTGGCTGATCAGAAGGAACAGGAAACGGAACAGAGAAACAACAAATTTGTTGTTTCTCCTTGTTTCCACTTCCAAATTTGGAAATGATTTTTAAAAAAAATAAGAAATAAAAAATAAAAATAAAAAAATAAAAACAAGAAAACGAGAATATCATAAATAGCTTCTACTAATAATGTACAACAGCCTCGTCCAGTTCAAAGAGTAGTGTGAGATCAAAATTCCGCGTCTCACACAAATCTCTTGAATTTAGTTAAACTAATATTTATTTTGTTTTTATGGTAGTATCCAGTTATGTAATTCTATGATTACTTTCTTTCACTATAGCGCTCAAGCTATTTAATTATTTGCAGGGCAAGTTTTCTTACTTCCCTTCCAGTAACGTTTTCTCAGCAGTTGCTATGT